GGGGAGTGGGTGGGTGTGGGGGGGGGGGTGGGCTGGAACGCCAGTGTTTCCTTTGCTTTTCTTTGGCTGCTTCTGCTTTTGCAGGGAGGTGTTTGTAATGCACCCAGCGCGGGTACAAATCCCAAAAAGGGAGAGGAAGAGAAAAGGAGCCGAGAAGTAAATACAGCGTGTGTTTGGGAAGTGTCTCGGGTAACTCCTTTCCACAGCACCGGGCCAAATTATGATCTCAGATAAGCAGCATCGGGCTGGGGTCATGCCCTGACGCCAACGGGATGGGGAAGGGGAATGAGTCACTTTTGGAGGCCCCGGCAAGTGTCCTGCTTCGGGCTGTGGTTTTGTGAGAGCCGAGGGGTGTAGCTATTGCCTTCACTTGGGAAAAATGCAAGAAACCACTCGGCTCGTTCGTGGTACCAGGAAGCAGCATCCTCCAGCCAAGGAGCCCTGAACCGCCGCCCGAGGCCAGACGCTGCTGGGGCGGGTCAGGATCCGCTTTTGCAGCCGTGGGCATGGGAAGGAGCAGGGACTGCGGTGGAGGGAGATCACGGGCACTCTCTGAACAGCCATGGACCCACAAAATAACTGTGGGGAGATGCCGGAGAGGAACGTGCAGCGCTGCTGTGGTTTAGCCTTTCTCTGCGTGGGGGGAGCAAAGCTCTGGCCACCGTTTGCTCATTAAAATGAGCCAAAGCACTGACCATTTTGAGCTGGAAGAGCCTCGGAGGCTTCCAGTCCAACCTGCTGGCATCTAAGTTAGGGCAGGTTATTGCATTAACCCCTCCGTACAAGCAGCCAAATTTGACCAGGGGCTGGGAGACGCAGGGAGCGGGCTCGGGCCAAGGGGCCCGGGAGCCAGCACATGCCCTGGTGCCGCTTCCCCCCAGGGAGGCTTGTTTTCTGTGCCGCGTGTGCCACAGCGAAGCCGGGATCACTGTGTCCTTTGGTGCCGGGGACAGACGCTGCTTGTCTTGTGTTTCCTTTGAGAAGAGCTTCCTCCACCCCTGGAGATGGACCCTGGGGGAGGGAGAAGATAAGGGAGCCCAGAACACAGCCCCATTGTGTGGCCTTGTTTTGCTCCCGGCAGCATCCCGGCCCCAAGGTGACGACGGGGAAGCCTCTCTGGTGCCTTTTCGCAGGGCAGGATAAGGCCGGTGGGATGCAAGAGCGGCGGGACCCCCCTTGCACAACGCGCAGGAGCCCAAAAGTATGGGAGCAGCATCCTCCCGTCGGAGACTTGATGGGGGGAGGCATAAAATTAACCATTGCCCTGATGGCTGTGGGAGCAGAGGGCACCGTCCCGGCACTGGGGGCTGATGCCGAGGGGAGGCTTTGCCGGCCCAAGGGGCTGCCGGAGCCCTGTTGCGGTGCTGGCATTTTCCCTGAATTCCCCGACGTTGTGGCCCGCAAATAAAGGGATGTTTGTTAGCCGGGTGCGCTGTGTTTTGCCGAGCAGAACAATAAAAAGAAAGACGCTCACAATGGGAAATTGTGCTTCCTCCTCCCCGTGCGTTCCTCGGGGAGGTGTTGGGGGGGAAAAAAAAGAGAAGAAAGCGGGAAGAG